CAAAGAAGAGGATAGAGAAACTAGTTTCCTCCCTATTATTCAAACATAGAGAAATAATTACCACATAGGGCTAATTACCCAATCTAATTTTGTATCTGCATTCAATGTCTCGTATAAAGAAAATTACTTTTGTACTAATGGAAGTGGACCCTGGTGAAAGTAAACCAATATTTAGTGACTAAAAAGTTAAAATTAAGTAAAATTTATATTATAAGTTATTTATACCTAACAGAACACTTATGATGCACGTGCAACACATGTGATGTATTTGATTATGTAATTGAATGTCTAATTCTTGGTGAATTTATACTTATATGAGATTCTTTTTTTAACTTTCGAGAATATTATTTACTTACAAGTGAAAATTTTCTTATAAGTAATTCTTTTGACTTATAATTTACTTATTAGTAATTTTTTTACCATGATTGGATTTTTCATACAAGTTAAATTTCTACGCATGAGTAAATACACACACACAGACAACTTATTTACTTATGAATATATGTGTTTCAATTCAATTCAAAATTTCCATATTTTTCATGAAGTATTTGAATTAATAATATGGTCTAAAGGGAGATTAGGACCAATGGCATACATACACCTTGGCAAAAGTTAGCACATATTTAATTCTTAAAAACATGAAATTAAGTTAAATTTTTTGATTATGAGTATACATATTTTAATTCAATTAATTTTACTCCTTATTGTACATGAAATAGTGAATTTAATATATGTTTTAAAGTGTTACATAGACATTATTATTCTAATCCCATAGACTATAGGGGTATAACACCCCATATTATGTTATATTGAGTGTTAATTACAAGAAACATTGAATAGGATCTTCAAGTACTCAACATATTTGGGAATGGAAACTTCGCGTCCTCCCATGTGTACTCGTTTTTTGGGTTAGTATATATTGTTTGACAGTTCTATGGTTTACAAAACACAGTAAGGGCTCCATAGAGCAGATTCATATGGTTGATATCTACAGTGTTGACAGCAAGCCATTGATTTATATATATCAGAGGTGGTTGCCTTACAGCTTCTCTCAAGTTTCCACTTCCTAAGGTTGCATTTTAAGCTACTTATATTGTCTACTTTTTTTTTTTTTAACAAAACATGTGCTAGCATGTACAACCCAAATGATTTATTTTTAATTTATAACTAGTAGTATAATTGATTTTTTATTCTAGGTGAATTTGTATTTGTTTAGTTTTTTTATACCATATGAGACTTTTTACTTATAATTAATTTTCTTTTTACTTCTAAATAAATTTTCACTAACGAATGACTTTTACCTTATAGGTAAATTTTGTACCATGAACGATTTTTTTCTTTTCATAAAAATAATTTTTTACGTATATGTTTATATATAAACTTGTTTACTTATGGGTATAGGTGTTTTAAAATGATTGGTAAAATGATATTTTGAAATTTTGATTACTTTAAACAATCATAAGGAGTTCAAATGAGCTTACTCAAATGTTTCTAATTTAGTTGAAGTGCAATGACTGATTCCTGAACCTTACGAACATGAATATACACTACAATAAAATGTACATTTTACGGCGTGCAATGCATGCCGTAAAAACCAATTTACGGCGTGTGGCCGCATGCCGTATAAAGAAATGCCGCAAAAAGTATTTCCTTTTTACGGCGTGCAATGCATGCCGTCTGTGAACGCCATCAAAACCTTTTATTTTTTAACGGCGTCCACATGCACACTATAAAAGGTAACGTATTTTTTTTTTAAAAAAATTGTTTATGTATTTGATTACCATAGTAATTACAAAACAAAATTCCATAAATATAACCAGGTTTTTCATAGATTCCATAAATATTGAGTACAGTTTAATATAATATATCAATGTAAAATTCATTTCAATACTTCTCAAAAAGTATATACCACTTCACATAAAAAAAAAAATCATTCTTGGTGCCTTTGAAACTTCTTCACTATGCAATTACGACTTCTTGCTATTTCTTTGTCTTCTTTCCTGCTGCATTTATGAGAGAGAAAAATTGTATAAATGCTAGCTAAAGGAAAGGTCACTGAACAGATCAAGAAAATGTAAAACGAACCTTCTGAAGGTTGGTAACAATATCCATCGTAAGCTCTGAATCTGCGGGTTCTTGATAATCAATTTTAGCTTCTTGAACACCCTTTGAGACAACAGTGTTCGTGTTCTCATCGGCATAAAGAAATTCCTAAAAAATTAACATTGATCCCCTAATGATCTCTGTCAACAATGTAAGAGAAATCACATCTGTTTCGTCTCTTCTTTTCCTAATATACATTCTACATGCCTTATGGACTCATAATATTAGGTGCCAAACTGAAAAGTGTACTTTTCTGGTGCCTATTTCATTTTCCTAAATAACGTAATTCAGGTATGTAAATTAAGATGCATAACCCGCAATAAGTAGAAGTGAGTAGAAGTATAAAACTGACAAGTTCAAGTACAAGCTTATACACCACATCTATTCCGGACAGCACCTTTCCGAATACAACATGACGACTGTCCAACCTGTTGAACATTTAACTTTTGTTAGATTTTCAGGCTAAATAGAAGCACCAGACAGAAGATCTGAAAATGGATGACAGTTTTCTCATAACAGCAGGATCATAAATTGTATAGTTACCAGCTGGTCGTCACAGATGAAAAAGTGTGAACCATTAGTGTCCTGCCCAGCATTTACCATAGACCTAACCCCTGAAAATTGGACAAAAATAATAAGATGACACAAAGAATGCTTTCACACAGTGAAACTCAGAAATCTGAAATCATGGAGTGAGATGGTATTAGGGAAGGGGAGGTTCTAGGGCATATATAGGCAGTTCTCCTACCAGGTCTGGTATGTTTGATTTTGAAATTTTCATCAGCAAACTTCTCCCCATAAATTGACAATGTCTTAGCTTTTGAATGAAATTAAAGTAGGTCACAGTCAACGGTATTGAAGGATGTCATCAAAATTAACCCACATAATAAGTCAAACCTGATCATAATGGTATAACATTTTCAATCATAGAACAATACATTGAATATTCATAACTATAAGTTAGAATCAAGAAATTACCATGTTGGTATGGCCAACTCTCTTTACTGGGGCCTCGCTTGATTGCCCAGTAATTAGTAAGGAAAGGACGATCTTGATGTTTCACACAATGACATGACATTGTAATTGCAACTTCTGCATAATCCATTCTCCAACTTTGAAATATCAAGATCAACTAGCTCAACATACTTTTAAGAATCCTCCAATAAAATTAACATGTGACCTCTATATAGCGGCTAGTTAAGTGACATTATTTTACCAGGTCAACATATCCAATTGCATCAATTAGTGGGACTTGGAACCTCATATCTTATCATCTCATCTTTTTTGCTAAAGCTAGGCTTCATTAGCTCATATTCTATAAATTCTTCTAGAAATCAAATAAACTGAAATAAACATCATTTTTAGATTTATAAAATTAAAATCTGAGTGAATTATAAGCTACAAACTAATTGGATTATACTATCAAATTGAATTATTTATCATTTAACTACCAACTTTCAACCAAAATGCCCATTAGCAAAGCTTCGGTCCCAGTTTTTGGGTAGTAAACTTCCTGGCCTACATCTACGCAATTACAAATGACTTTATTGCCCTCGCCAACCATCTACACACCATTGTTCAATTGTTCTCAATGCAGCAGTGCCAACATCCAAAATAAATCTTTAAACAATAAAATTCAACAACACCCCATGTTTAAATTTTTAAATAAACACAAAATTGAAAAACATACTTAGGTTTTCCCTCAGATGCATTTCTCTCCAGTTTTCTGCAAACTCAAAATTGACAACAGGAAAAATAACTCAAATGAACAATAAATAAATGTGCATAGACAATGTACGTGAATGATTTGTGTCCTGGGAGGCGAGCGACGAGAGTGAGCGACATATGTGGGAGGCAGAGAGAAACGAAAGTGAGGGCTGAGGTGCCGTCGATCGACGGTGGAAGTCGGAGAGAGACGAGAGTGAGCTAAGGCGCCTGTGGTCGACCGTGGAAGGTAGAGAGAGAGATTGAAAACTGAAGCGCCAGGGGAAATCATGGAGAGGCGAAGTTGATGGGGAAAAGAGCATGGAAGAAATGTTGTGTTTTTAGGGCTTTGTAATGAATTTTTTGACAATATAACACGGCGTGCTTTTTAGTGCAAGCCGTAAATGCCGGTTAATACGACTGTAAATGCTCTAATTACTTGATCTTTCATGGCATACATACATCGCATGCCGTAATTGGTCTATTTTTACAGCATGCCGTAGATGCACGCCGTAAATACATGCCGTAAAAAGCTACTTTTGTTGTAGTGATAGTGTTTTCTGTATGTAACAACAGGATTTACTTTAACAAGTCAATTCAATTAACAAAAGAAATTATAGAAGCCTCCAAAAGTAGTTATGTTGTGATGCAAGTTTGCTATAATTACCATCCTTTGTATATTTTTAGGTGCTTAGTACCAGATCAAGAAAATGGATCTGGTATGTTTGACTTTAGCCGCTTTTATTCTTACGTGTGGTTTTTATTTATTGTGTTTGAATGGAAGCTCACGAAATGCACTTCAAAATAAAGCTGCTAATGACATTGCTTATAAGTAGAAAAATATTTATATCTATAAGTATCACTGTGATATACAAAAAATTTCATATAAGAAACCATAAACTGAAAATTTTATTAAGGGACACATATAATTTTATTCTTCTAAAAATCTTTCAAAACTAGTGGATAATAAACTCCCAAACATAGGTTTGCGAGTTTTATAAATTGGTACTAGAACCACTCAAAATTGAACCTCTTGTAAATGGTCCTAAACGATACATTAAAAAACGCTAATAACCGTTACGCCAAATCTCCCAAGCAGGCCCTTAGGATTTACAGTAAAATTAAAATCTGAAAATGAGTTCAACTGGCTTCCACTAAGGGTAGTAGATGGAAGCCCAAGTAATTAAAATATTTATCTCGATCTCGTAACTGGCCTTGAATTCCCAGTTGGAAGAATCACTGGATTTTTAAGAAATCGAAAGTTTGATGAGCGTGTCGACGCCGGTGCCCCAGTATGCCTCTCCGCCATTCTTGAATACCTTGCTTCTGAGATGCGTTATGGGTTTTGTTTGTTCCCATTTCGTACATTTTTTATTTTCAGGATTTATTATATGGTTCTGTTGATTGAGGTTTTGGAGCTCGCAGGAAACGAGGCTAGGGACAAGAAGAAGAAGAACGGGATTGCGCCTAGGCATAAACAATTGGCTTTAAAGATCGATGAAGATTTGAGCAAGCTTTTGGGAAATGTTACCATTGCAAACAGTGGGGTTCTGACTAACATTAGTCAGTGTTTGTCGCCAAAGATAGCCGATGGAAAAGATAAAGAGAATGGCTTTGCTTCGGAAGAGTTCTACGGTTTTTAATTTATTATTTATGACATTTGGATGGATATTAAGCCCTTGTGACCACTATTATTTGAAAACTCTTTTTTCTGCATTCTCCTCTTCAACCACACATACACGCAATGTAATTTTTTGCATTTAAATCCAAAACTTTCCCTACTTTTTAGCTACACATTCTCTTAAAAAACACTGTTCAAAACATTGGTTTTCCAAGATAATGGTTGTCAAACAGTGGCTAAGGGTTTTGGTCTTCAGATTTTTATCAGTTAAAGACTTTTCTAAATATAATAGTTTTTTATTCAATTATACGAGTCTATGTTATTTATTCATTTATTTTTTGTTTGTCAATAATCAGTTGTCTTAAGAATATGCGACTGAAGACACAGATGTTACCTGTTTCACTATTTTGTGGTAACTGGCATTGTTTGAAATATCGAATGGAAATGAATATTCTATTTTGTTGCATATGATATATAAAGCACTAATCTTTGGAATAAATTGGATATGAATGCCCATTGGATGTTGATACCATTTTGGGACTTCATTTCTGGTTTATACTGTTACTCGCATTTTCTATATGGTTAATTCATGTTTTTGTCCGTGCTTGTGCGCAGTGGTGAGTACTTCATTCCAAAGATGGTAGAAGTTGATTGTTTATACTTTAGAGCTTCTGGTGCTGTAATTCCCATCTTTTACATTTTAGTTCGTTTCATGATCGTCCAAAAACCCAAAAAAAAAAAAAATTACATACATCGAGTGACTTGCACATGAATCTTACAAGTTATATTAAAGCTTGGAAGGACAAATTCTCCAGTTTTTTTGTTCATTTCCCAATTTTTTAAATATTTAAATGTGCTCATTCAGGAAGGAATTTTAAAAGAGTTTAGGCATCCATTTCACATCTGTCGCATGTGAATTGCACGTGCACCGCACGTAGTGTGGCTGAAAAGGATAAATACTCAATAACGTGATTTCTCATTTGATAATTTGTATTAAATGAAGATTTGTAAATGTTTTAGTAGTTCTCTTGGTGATTTAACATTCACCTTGATGAAAATTTTCAACTCATTAGTCCAGCAATGGGTGGTGATTATAGCACGCTGCATCACAATATAATCATTTTTCGAGGCTTTTGTAACGGCTTATGCAAATAGAAAGACAGATGACCATGTCTTTATTGCTAAATTGATGAAAACAGTATACTATATATGGAGATACTCAACTGTGAAAGTTTTTAACGAGTCATTTCACACATGAATTCTACTTAAAAGGAAAATAAAAATCTAAAATTCTCATTTTCAATCTTCATGCCACATCATCTATCAGCAGCACATCTCTATCTGCCAATCAAACTCTAGCACTATCTCACTAAATTCTTATATAAAACCATCTACTGACCACTTCATCTCCATAAAAGCCCGGCATTTTCTTGCAAATTCTAGTTTCCAATTTCAATTCCTTTCTAGGGTTTATAGTAAAATTCAACTGGCAGAGCCTCCACTAAGGGAGGTAGAGGGAGGCCCAATGCATTGAAATCCTATGCCTATCTAGTAAAGTCGGTGTCGAATTCCCTGTTCCTAATCACTTGATTTCTCAAATTTTGGAAAGTATGCCGAGCAAGTGGGAGTCGATACCCTAGTCTATCTCTGCACTGTCCTTGAATACCTTGTTGCGGAGGTGAGTTGGGGGTTTTATTTGTTCCCATGCCATACATTTTTTTTTTTTTTTTTTTTTTTTTTTTTTTTTTTATTTTTTTTTTTTTTTTTTTTTTTTTTTTGTAGAACTACATGTCAACATGCTTGTTCATTAGCAGGATAGCCCATTCAAATTTCAGATGGACAACTCACATGTATAGGCTACAAAGCAGAATAGTTGTTGGATTGAGCTCTATATAAAGAAAATGTAATTCACAAGACATATATAGTAAAAATAAAAAATTACAGGCCTATTATTCTCTATATAGTATCACTTAGCCACTAAAATGATGAACATCTGATCCACATTGGTCTCCTCATTCTCCTCCGCTTCCTTATCCAACCTTCCGCTAAGTACTGTCAATAACAATCTTAATCACTTTCTACCCCAATCTTAATCACTTTCTACCCCATGCAGAAGGCTCAAGCCCTATGCTACTTCCATGTTCAGTCAATTTTTGGGTACATTGATGGCATAGTGAAACCCTCCGACGGAAGTTGATTCCCCTCCCCCCCCCCCCCCCCATCCCATTTCTGATTTTATCTTCCAGATTCCAAACCCTCAATACGAGGCAGTGGTCAGGATTCTTTTATCCTTCCACCCATAAATGCCTCACTCACTGAAAATTTCCTCACTCAGGTCATGACCTACACTATCTCTTAAGAAGTATGGCTTGCTCTCAAATGCAATTTCTCCTCATTTTCCCTAACTCAAAACTGTTCAAATCCACACTAGCTCGTCAGCGCTAGGAAAGACGCTATGTCCGCCAATGACTGTTTCCTCTGTATCAGCCGCATAGCTAATGAGCATTACTAGCCAGACATTCAAGTTTGATGAAGTTATTAGTTATAGTCTGACCTATAAAATAATATAGTTGAACAATGAAAATACAATAACCACCACCAAGAGGAAAACACAAGGTCCATCGTATCTTAATTTGATCCTCTGAATGTTCTCAATGATATCCATCAATATCATTCATATCTAGTGTACAATTGCAGCACACACGAAAGAGAATGTCCAATAAATATTATAGTGCATGAAATGTACATCCAATCATGCATATGTAGTGGAGATCCCCGAGTATAGGCAAGGTAGGCGATCGTCTGAGGCCCCGCTTTGGCGAGAGCCCCAAATTATTTAAAGTTAATTAGTTGATTGAAGAAAAATAAAAATTATATTTATGAAATTCTGTAAAATAGAATTATTGTATGCAAACATAAGAAACTAATAAAAATTGAAAATATAAAAATCTTTATATATATATATAGGAATGATGTCCCAAGCATCGGTACTTAGCTTATGTTAAGTACCGGTGACATGTAACATCATTTAACAAGTGAATCATTAAATACATGAGACCTACCATTAATTTATTCACCAATTAAATGGTGTGACATGTCACCGGTGTTTAGGAGATCATTTCCGTGTGTGTGTGTGTATACTTTCCCTCTTTATAACTAAGTTGACGCTTTATTTTCCAAACATTCATTTTCTCTTCTTAACCAAACAAAATGCCTCTTTGTCTCTTAAAATTCCGTGTCAAACAATCACCAACCATTATTTTTTCATCCCAACAAGATATATATCCCTTTGAATTAAAATTTTAAAGATTCAATTTAGCATATTGGTTTGATCTCACTACCATTGTTACAACCTTGCAAGTTTCTTTCTTTATCTTCTTACTTCAAAACACATAGTGCAAAGTATATAGGTTGTTATAATATTGTTTTGTTTTAATCTCATGATAATAATATTTTTACATGTTTGCGAAAAGTAATTTGAATTTAATAATTCTTTGTCCGTGTTCAGACAAATACTTTTTATTTTTAAGTTAATTTCTTATAAATTAATATAAAACTAGAAGCTCGTTTATATTTGATCATCATTTTCATTATTTTATTACATTATCTTTTATAGTCAAAATTCTCCAATTTTGTATATAAATCACTCAAATATATATTGAATTTTGTTTGAAATAGTTGTAGAGAGAAAATAATCATAAAAGCCATTGCATTATAATTCTGTTTGCCAAACTTTACTTGTAATTTGTATTGCAGGTTGAAATTTGACATTTTGTTAATTTCCTCTTTAAAATTTTGTTTGTGTTAGATTCTTCATAATTATATTAAGCCCCTATTTGGTATTGATTAAAATCTAGATTTTAATTTTAGTCAAAATCAACAAGAAATTTTAACCACATATGAGTCCCACAACTTTTCATCAACATATTTCATCTACTTTTATTAAAATCTACTTAAAATCTAATTTTAATGTCCACCAAAAAAGGCTAAAACTAAATGTAAGAAGACTCAAAATATGTGCCTCACATTTGAAATTGACATAATGCCCCCAAAATATTAGGGTCGGCCCTGTGCATATGGCTTGAATCTTCGTACTTTGTGCCGTATAGGCTCAAACATTAATATGGCCAATAACAAGTGCACTTAACGAGTCTCCGTGAAGTTCTACATAGTTTAAACCACAGCTAAGGATCCAACAGTTTCTCGGTCATCACCTCCATGAGACCACAACGCCGATTTCCTTAACCCGGACTATCTTTAATGCTCGTTGGTAGTTTCAGTTAGGTATATTAATTCAGGAAAAAAAAAAAAAAAGAACAGTACCTTTGTAAAAGGATTCTAGTCACTATCCTTACGTCCACTATGAATGAAATAACAATGCAGGTGCTGCTAGAATGCTAATGCTTGATATTAAGAATAAATAAGTTACCTAATAGTAAACCAGAACATCAGAAACAATATCATAGTACAATAATGTACTAGAGTTGTAATTGTCGATATTTACCTCAATTTCTCGTATCATGCTAGCATCTGCATAATTTGAATATTCGCATCATAAGTTAATTATGATCATACCACTTCGTGTGATCGACTTATTGGTTATTCAAGGCTTAAAATTCTAAAAGGGGTGGGCTTTCAAGGGATCTCTCGTGTTGACCATGGGCGGACCCACATGGGATCTTGTGGGGTCAAGTGATCCCTCAAAAAGTTTTATTTTTCCAAAAATTCGGTAGTTGCCCTTTTTACCCCTAATTGCTCACATTTACAGGCTACTGTTTACTGTGTTCTTCCACACAAAAGAAAAAAAAAGGGGAAAAATCTCTTCCATTCTCGAATAAATCCTCGTCCAATCTCTAATTCCAATTATTCTTCGATTTATTCATCATTAATGTAATTTGACTTATTTTCATTAATATTACGCTGTTTTAAAAAAAATAAAAAAAAATTACATTTTAACGTCGACAATATAGAATAAGGTTTTGATGCCTAAAAAAGGATGGATATGGATGTCCACACCTGAGGGTTGAAGGACGCCGACACCCAACCATCGGGTGAATAGGCTCACGATTCCAGTGATGCCCCCTGTCTATAAATTTACAAGGTCTTCTTATAATATTTGCTTATATAAAAGTAATTAAAATAATTAATTGAAGGTAGGTTACTTTTCTAATCGATGACTTTTATTTATAAGTAATTATTTGACAAATGAGTGGATTTTTTTCTTAAAATTGAATTTTAATTGCATGCAAAGTTATTTATACATGTATACGTATTTTAAATTAGTTAATTTTTCTACTATTATTTATGTATATTTAATCCTGTAGTTAGTAGTATGAGTGAAATCTTACTCCAGTTGAATGTTCATTATATTAGTTAATATTTTGACCATGAGAATTTTTTTACTTATAGATGAACTTTTTACTTTTAAGTAAATATAACTTAAATAAAGTTATACTCACATCAACTTTCTACTTTAAGGAAAATCTGTGTCCCCTCCACCCCCACTCCCCCAACAATAAGAAACGAAAGGCTTCACCTAAACATGTGCAGTAGGGACATTCACATATTTTGTCGAGGCATCGGAACGTTTGCAGGAGTTGATTAGGCTCTTGTACTCCATTAAAACTCCCTCTGAGACCAAGTTCAAGGATTTGAGGAATTTAAATAATCAAGTAATTCACAATTAAACGAAAACTCTTGATTATCAATCATTTTCAGCCAAAATATTATAAGACGTGTGATGTATGTGCAATTAACGTGTGGCACATGGCAATTTGGCACCTAAACTCAACCAAAACTTCTTCCAAGGCCAAGCTTGAGGACTTGAGGGATTTAAGAACGAGATATTTTGCGATCAAAAGAAAAGGCAAGGACATTTGTCCTTTCCACCTATATTATAATGCGTGCAATTCACTTGTAACGCACGTGGCGCATTTAAAATTATGTATTTAATAGTATGAATAAATTTTAATTTTAGGTGAATTTTTAATTCGAGTGAATTTTTTGACATATGAGGACATTTTCTACTTAGGGCTGGTAGACATGGTTGGACATTTCTTTGCAATAGAGAACTCAATGAGGGGTTCCATAGAGTAGATTACCTGGTTGAAGAAATCTACAGTGTTGATGGCATGCCATCCAGTTATATCCTTCCAAGGGGGTAGCCTTACAGAGCTTCTCTCAGGTTTCCACTGCCTAAAGTTGTGCCAATATATATATTTTTTAGTCGTGTTGACTAAAGGGAGATAATAAACAAGAATTAATTCAATCCCGTTGATTGCTAGATAGGGCTAATTACCCAATCTAATTTTGTGTATCAAATTGAGATATCTCGTACATAGAAAAGTACTTGTGTACAATGGAGAAGAATGTGACACAAGTAATTAAACCCTATTCGGTATTCTAAAATTTAAAATTATTTAACTTTACATTATAAGCTATTTATATTGTCATGCAGATGCACGTGTAATAGACGTGTTTAACAATATAGTATATGTTATACGAGATTTTTAACTTATGAGAAATCTTTTTTTTTTTTATTCTATTAACTTTTGAATAATTTTTTTACTTAATCATGAAATTTTACTTAATAGTAATGACTGGAATTATTTCACACAATTAAATATTACTTTTATTTAAATTTTATATAATACATAAACTTATTTAATTAATTAAGAGTATGATTTTTTAAATTCTATTAATTTTTCCATATTTTTCTTGAAATATTTGAATTAGTAATACAATCTATACCTATTCATAGAGGGTATTATTTCAACTGTATCGACTAAAGGGGATTTCTAATTCGGAGTAATTTAATTCTTGCAAACTGTTTATTTCTTACAAAAAATATTATGATTTTTAAGTTTATTTATTTATATAAAACTTATTCACTTATGAATATACATATATTAATTCAACTAACTTTCAAATTAAAATTCAAATCTAAAACTCTCACTTTCAATTTTCATGCCATGTCATCCATCTGCACCACACCTCTATCCGCCAATCAAATTCTATCACCCACTCACTAAAATTTTCATATGAACCCTATACACACCACATCATCCCCATAATATCTCAGCTTTTTCTCACAAATTATAACTCCAATTTCTATTCCTTTTTAGGGCCTACTGGGGAGTTTTTTTTTGCTACTAATAATATAAAAATTCACATGTAAAGTATAAAAAGTTATTTAAAAGTATAAAATTAACTTATAATTATAAAATTTACTTATAACTAAAAATTTTTGACTTCAAATGTCAAGTAAATATTTATCTTTATTTAATTTTTAAGTTTAATATTAACTTATATATAATAAATATTTATAAGTAAAATATCACTTATGTGTAAAAAAATTTATATGAGAAACTATAAATTGAAAGTTTTACTAAAGGACATATATGTAATTTTATTCTTTTAAAAATCTTTCAGAACCAGTGAATAATAAACTCTCAAGCATAGATTTGATAGTTTTTCAAATTGATACTAATCCCACTCAAAATCGATTTGCTCATAAACACCTAAAATCGATACTTTAAAACGCTAGTAACTGGTATGCAATAGCGGAACGACGGTGGGTCACAGCAGGGCACGTGACCCACCAACTTTCCAATTTTCTTTTTCTTTTTTATTATAAATAATAAAAGCCCAAACATTAAACAATCCAAAGTAAAAAGAGCCAAACCCACTACAACAAAACCCAGTTCAAACTTGCACTGTAGCCAATGGACCAATTCCGCCATTTAGCAATCAAAATTTTGATTTCCTTCACTTCTTCATCTCAATCCATTGCCTTATGCGAGTTTAACATCCAATATTTGTCTTTGTAAATTGTAATTCATAGTTTAAAATTTAACATTGTGGATTTTTAAAATTTAATTTCTCTTTTCCCTTTTTTTTTATGTATTTTGTGTTATGAATCAATAGAATTTATTGCACAATTGAAATTGCTATGGCTTCGATAATTTCCTTTACTCTATTTGTATTGAGTTTGTTGTATTTCATTGTTTGTATCATTCATGGAAAAATACTTTAAACATACAAAATATTAATGGAATGAATGTTCAAGATAAAAGGGATGAAACAGATGTTGGAAATAAAAAGGATGACTGGGATGTTAGGAATGAAAGTGAAGAACTTGATGTTGGAAATGATATGATTGAAACTAATGTCGAGGATGTTAGGGATGAAAGGCTTGAATTTGATGTTGCACGGCTTCCTTCGGATCAAGGATAGAGAGTTCCAATACAGTACTATGATGTTAATGTTCAAGATGTGATAAGAAGAGCATATGTGCAAAGAGATCCTTGCCAACCTTGCAACCATGAATTTTCACCCACAAGAATGGGTAATAAAGATAAGACAATTTTGTGTTTCATGGTATGATGAACATCCTAGTTGGTTGCAATACAATATAGCAAAGATGTTGTATTTTGCTTCTAGTGCTATCTTTTGAGTTCAAGTGGTGGTTCATTTGTTGATGGCTGGTTCTCAAATCAGAAAAAGAAGGAAATTATTAGAAAACACGTTGGGGCATCAAGTACTGCTCACAATTAGGCTCGAGTCAAGTATGAATCATTTAAAAATAAAAAAATAAAGCATTGCATCCTATCTCTTTAAGCAATCATATCAAGCTTGGAGGCAATATCGAAATCGTTTGAATGCATCAATCAATTGTGTTTGATTTCTCCTATGACAAGGGTTGGTCTTTCATGGATATGATGAATCTGAATATTCAAACAATCAAATAAACTTTCTTGAACTATTGCATTGGTTATGTGATCGTGCTGAAATTAAGGCAGTTGCTTTGGTGAATGTACTTGAAAATCTCAATTTAACATCATCATGAGTTCAAAAACATATTGTGAGTGCTATTG